GGGCGGGGCGCGGGGCCGAGAGACTCAGGTCCAGCTGCGCCTGCCGGGCGTGTGGGCACGAAGCAGGGATCGTCTTTTCCTTTCAGAGAGAGAGCTGGAGCGGGCAAAGTGGGGTTTGAAGGAAGGGATCCCTGGAAGTGTTCGGAATTGGTGAGAGGCTGGTAGCAGGCGTTAGCGCGAGGAACCGGAAGAATCAGGGAGGAAAAGGGACGTCTGGGTAAGCAGCTGAAGGTGTTAAGTGAGGAAAAGAAGGTTGGTGTAAGTGAAAGAGTGAGGCGCGGCTGGATCGCAGGGTCCGGAGAAGAGGGTGTGTGTAAGTGCGCAGAGGGTGGAGGTAAAACCCTAAAAGTTACTGGGGCCCGGGGCGGAGCAGTGCCAGGCCTGACTGGAAGGCAGAGGAGCGGAGCTCTAACCCGAGAGTGTTGGGGAATTGGAAGACGGTGGCGAACGAGAATCAGGACCCGGATCTTGTCCCGGAGAGGGGTTGACGCGTCCGGCATGTGGGATAAGAGGCTGGTTAGACTGGCGTTGTTGCAGCACCTTCGGGCTGTCTATGGCATTAAGGTCAAGGGTGGCCGTGGGCAGTGCGATCGCAGGAAACGTGAAGCAGCAGCTACGGAAATAGGGGTAAGTTCTGGGGACTCTAGGTTAAAGGTGAGCTTTACGTCCGATACCGTTACCTATTACCATGTCGTGCTAGAATGTGTGATTCCACTGTGGGTCAAAAAGAAATGTCGCTTGCTTCGCAAGGGTGAGGTCCCGAGTGCGATCCCTGGTTACCGCCCCCCCAAGATATGTTATCCTGTTGTTTAAAGAATACCATTCTCCTTTCTTTTCAGGAACTTGTGGTCATTGAGAGAAAGTTACAGGATTTTCCAAGCTCAGCATTATTGAAAATTTGGAGAAGATAGTTGTTAAGGGAATGGGGAGGGGTTATGTGAACTGTAGAATGTTTAGTAGCCTCTGGCTTCAACTCACTGGGATGCCAGTAGCATCTTAGAGCAGTCAACAATGTCTCTAGATGTTGCTTATTTATTTACTTCGTGGTGCTGAAGATCAAACCTGGGACAAACCCACAGTCTTTAGAATCAGTCACACGTTTTAGAAGTTCAAATGCAAGCATTAAAAACAGTGGCAGATTGTACCTGACTGCTATAATCGCTCGTTAACACAGTTGCTCACTCTTGTGATCCTTAGTGTTTTAAAACTTAAATGTGCATTTTTTTTTCTCATTGAGTTTATTGGTACATTTTAGGTGTACAGTACAGTTACATTCATTATTGGGATCTTGTACCTTTATTGAATGTGCATTTTTAAAAATGAGTCTTAAGGTGGTTAAGTTGACTCAGATATTTGCCTTGTGCATCTCGGGACACGGTTTGAAAAACTCTTTAGAATGTTTAAAAGATATGACATATAATAATAGTCACTTCTGTTATATTTTGGAAAGTAGTCAGTGAGTGACAGGAATTACTGTTTTATTTATCAACTGCCTTAACCCTTTTGTGTAAGTTCGCATTTGTAAGATGACCAAAGGAAAGTAAATATAAGAACGCTGGGGGAACCTGTAGTATTTTTGGGGAAATGTTAATGGTTAGACTAGGTCCTGTTTAAGAATTTATTAAGCACACTTTAATTGATTTTCCATAGTCGTTGGAGACAGAATTCACTAAATGTACACTCAACTGCTAGCATAATGTCTAGTATAGCAGTTATTTGTTAACAAGTGCATTTGAAATAATTATTTTGTTTTGACTGATAACATTAATTTCTAATTTTTTTATTCTTGAGTTTTTAATTTGCTCAATGTTTAAGAAAACTTATGCCTCATATTTGTGTTAGAGTAACAAGTTTGTCGTTTTAGGGTAAAATATTTGGAGTACCTTTTAATGCATTGCCCAATTCTGTAGTGCCAGAATATGGACACATTCCAAGGTAAGTACAGTCGAATTGAAGAGTAAATAGTTCAAACTGGTTTTAGAGGATTTAAAAATAAATAGCTTGACGTACCCATGATTTCAAACCAGCAATTGATTTCATCTTTCAGTATTAGCTAATATAAAGATGAGAATTTGAATGTATAATTTGTGCTCACTTCCAGGACTGAATTTTAATGCCCAGTAATGAGTACACATTAGAAAATCAAATTATTTTTTATCTGTTAATTTGGAGTTTTCAATTTGTTACCAGTTCTTTTGGGTGTGGTAAACCACACCTATAATCCTAGCACTAATGAGGTGGGAGGATTATTATGAGTTTGAGGCCAACGTGGGCAAGGCCAGTCTGAACTACATGAGACCTTGCCTCAAAAAACAAAAACAAAACTAAATTATCAGTTCAGTAATAATTTTGATATTTTTTGAGAAATGTTGAATAAAAGAATATTTAGCCTAAGATAAGAGTATTTGTGAATAGTATACATTATCTTATGTAATGTTTTAACTTTCCTATGCCACTTGTTCATTGGGAATAATGTTTTGACTAATTGCACCAGGAATTAATGGGAAAGTTTATGTCCTCATAGCTGTAAAATACATATAAAGAAAGTATCTTTTCTATTAATTTATTTTCCTTCTATAGGAAGTTGGGCCCATTTTGTTTACTGTCATCCAGTTATGTAGCTTTTAAGCCATGCGTCATTTAGGAAGTGTTTATTGAGCGCCTTGCTTCCCACCTATGGTTTTCCTCCATTAGTCCTTAGGGTTAGATTCATAGTCTTTCTAAGGTAACCACTTAATGTTTTGTTTTCTATGTGGTTTATGAATAGCTGGTTTTCCTGTGATGAAAACCCACAATAGTTTCCAGCATTTGGAATTGCAAAGTCACCTAACTGGGGATAATGACTAATTCTTTGTTGTAATTTTTTGACCTCGTTAAAAACACCAAACCTCCAAACCAAACAAAAAGCCAACTGTCAGTTACCCTTTGTAAATTGGGTTGACATTCCACCTCTACATACCACTACAACTTTTGTAGCTGGAATACATTCTAATTTGTTAGTACCAGTTAACTAAATATGTAAGGCTAACATTGAGATTATCGCTCAAAGTAAAGATATTGAGCACATAACCCTTAAGATGAGAATGATTGTAAGAACTGGGGTATAGCTTACTGTTCTGAGGGATAATTTTGGGTTAGAAAAACTTGCCTTAAAGCATGTGTAGTAGATAATAGATATTTAAAGCTATATCTGCTGTACAAGATAGTCCATGGAGAGATGGTAGATAAAAGAAGGCAGCCTTGGACAGAACCCTGGCTCATTCCACTATCAAGCGGTCAGGTAGAGGATGAGGAAGAACCAGAAAAGGAGTTTGAGTGGGAGAGGGGAGGAAAACTAGAAGAGTGGCAAAGAATATTTTTGAGCAGGAAAGTGGTTAGGTGTATCAAATGCTAATGCGTCAGGCAAGATGATAACTGACGTGGGTTTGGAAAGCCAAAGTCCAGTCTTGACTGTAGCTAAAGTTGTTTGGAGTAAGGAGGTTGAGAGTCTGATTGGAGAAGGGTGAGTAAGGACTGAGGTGTGTTGACATGGAGGCATTCTGAAAGCAAGCCAGAGAAATGGAATAGGATCAAGAAGAATGTAGAACTGAGCAGATACATTGAAGTTGGCTGAGTAAAAAGATACCCTTGAAGAATAATTTCAGAGGAGCAGGGAAGATAATTGCAAGCCTTTATCACATAGATTAGAGGGGTGTATGACATTAGAACTTCTAAAAGAGGCATAGTACTTGGCCTGTTCGTGTATTTTGGAAGAACAGGATTTGGTGAGCATGTGTCTTCTCTTTCAGCTTTCTTGTGGATGCTTGCACAGCTTTAGAAGAGCATATTCATACCGAGGGGCTTTTTAGGAAATCAGGATCTGTTATTCGCTTAAGGGCACTAAAGGTAAGCATATTTGATTGAAATATCTAGAACATAATTGACAGAAACTGAAGTAGGACTTTTTTTTCCTGGCAGAAAATAAATTGTGTATCACTTATATAATGCTTCAAAAGTTCACAGAGTAGTTTCAAATTCGTTGCCCTTATAAAGCACTATACGAAATGAAAAAAATTCTTAGTTCTTTTTTGCCTTTTTATAGAGGAGTAATAGCTATTAAACTAAGAGTTAAGAGTTTATGAAAGTTCTTTAATGATAAAAAGGATTATTTTATTTGCAATAAATTCTGAAGCCATGGAAATGCTCATGATTATTGTATTTGTTTCAGAATAAACTGGATAATGGTGAAGGTGGCCTGTCTTCTGCCCTTCCTTGTGACATTGCAGGGCTTCTGAAGCAGTTCTTCAGGGAACTGCCAGAGCCCATTCTCTCAGCTGATCTGCATGAAGCACTTTTCAAAGCTCAACAGTTAGGATCTGAGGAGAAGAACACAGCAACATTGTTACTTTCCTGCCTTATGGCTGATCATACAGTTGATATATTAAGATATTTCTTTAACTTTCTCAGGAATGTTTCTCTTAGGTAAGTGGTAATTAAAAGTCTTTGGGAAATGATAGTTTAATTTCTCAACTACTGAAAGATTGATCCTTGTAGATGATAAATTTCATTTGAAATGGAAATTTTTCTTTAAGAAAGTATGCCCTATAATTTAAGAAAGAGTATACAATTGATTTCCTAGTTTCTTGGTGACTTAGTGTTTTACAAGGTTCCTTGTGTTTGGACTGACTTCTGATTACTGTGTTTTTGAAGTATTTGTGTTTTGCTTTTTAAATAGTTCACCTCTCTGCTGTCAGTGCACTAGTTTTATGCCTACTGCCACCTTCTGATTCTTTCAGTTTTCTATTTATAGCTTTGAAAATCAGAAACATGTTTAATATGTGTAGAAAAGCAAAATGAGAACTCTAGTTACCATAATTTTTATGGTCTATGTTAATTATGTGGAGACTATATTTTGGATCTCACCTTTTTCTTTATTATTTTGATTTGTGATGCTGGCAATTGAACCCACAGGCTTCCATGTGGTAGATAAAGCAGTCTCTACCACTGAGCAATATTTCCAGTCTTTTTTTAGTTTGACTGGTGTATGACTAATAGGTTAAGAAGTCTTCAAAATGTGCTTAATATGTTACCTTAATTTTTTGTACTTTTACCTTTTTCTCCATTTAGTAAAATATGTTTTTTTCATTTAAGGTCCAGTAAGAATAAGATGGATAGCAGCAATCTTGCAGTAATATTTGCACCAAATCTTCTTCACACAAGTGAAGGACAGGAAAAGATGTCTACTAACACAGAAAGAAAGCTACGAATACAGGCTGCAGTAATACAGACTCTTATAGATTGTGCCTCAGATATTGGTAAGATATATATAGCTGCATCATTAAATAACAGTATTTGCTTAAATGAGGGAGAGCCTAGCTTCTTCCAGTGGATATTAGCTGCATGTTTTTGGAGGGGAAAGTGGAGGAAGGATGATAATAGTCTTACTTAAGAACATTTCTATTTAGGACGTGTACCAGATTTTATCCTGGAAAAGATACCGGCTATGTTGGGTGTTGATGGTCTCTGTGCTACTCCATCATTGGAAGGCTTCGAAGAAGGTGAACATGAAACCCCCAGTGAATGTAAGAGAAAGCGAAGACAAAGTGTTGGAGGTAAGTTGGCAGTCTCATTTTAGGGAGCTACTGTGATTTGCTTACCAGTGTGTCCCATTTGAACATAAAGAAGCAGAAGCTATAGTATAGCCTTTTTGATACACATTTGGAAAATTGGACGTGGATGGGAAACTTTAAAGTGACAGTATGACATAATGTTAAGGGCTGCTTGAATTCCACTTTCTGTGAACAGCACTATTATTATCTAGATGTTTAGGCTTTGAACTGTGAGGTACTAACTCTTATTTTAACATCATCTACTATATAATTACAGTTTTCAGATTCTGTAGAGTCTATCTTTGAATGTTTACTGCATCTTTACTGTAAGAATCTCCTTGGTATCCTTGGTCTTCAATTCACTCACTCTTATTTCTTACTGTGCAGGCTGAATCCAGGGCCTTCACACTGAGCTGTATTTTAATTTGATAGGAACCCATTTGTTGATTCTTATCTCTTGTGCAATTGGAGTTCTGTTCAGAAAGTCCTTGCCTATGCTTAAGGCTTTAAGAGTTTTGCCTATTTTATCATTTCATGATTTAATAGTTATTTTTTGTGTATGTTTGTTTTTTTTTTTTTCCTGATCCTGGCGGGGATTGAATTCAGGACTTTATCCATGCAGGCGCAGTGCCACTGAGTCACATCCTTGGCCCCAGATTAAGTATTTCTGTTTTAATATTTAGATGTTTGCTCCACTTTGATTTTAATTTAGTACATAGTGAGAGATACGGATCTAGGATTTAATTTTCTACATTTGGATAACCAGTTTTCCCAGAATCATTTCTTAAAGAGACTATCTTCCCTTCAGTGTAAGGTTTTGACCCCTTTGTCAAAGATCAAGCAGCTGAATGTGCCTGGGATTGTTTTTGCGTCCTGTTCTGTTCCATTGATTCACATGTTTGTTTTTTTTAAATACCATGCTGTTTTTATTACTGTTGCTTTATAGTATAACTTGAAGACCAGGATTGTGATGCTTCCTGCCTTGTTCTGTTGCCCAGGATTACTTTTGCTATTCTAGATATCCTCTGCTTCAGTGTGAATTTTAGGATTGTTTTGTCTAGTTCTGTGAGGAATTTTGATTGGGGCTATATGTAAATAAGTTTTGGAAGTATGGCCATTTTAACCATTGCTTCTGCTTATTCAGGGATAAGAACCATTTTCTCATGTCCTCTTCAATCTTCTTTTTCAGAGTTGTGTAGTTTTTGGTCTAGAGATCTTTCACTTCCTTGGTTAGATTAATTCCTCCTCAGTACTTACTTTTTCTTGATGTTATTGTGAAAGATAATTTCTTTCTTGGTGAGTTTATTATTGCTGTCTAGGAACCTTAATGATGTTTGTGTGTTGACTTTGTCCTGCTTTGCTACTGAATTTAGTTATTGATTTTAGGATTCTTTTGGTGGAATTTTTTTGGGTCTTCTGTGAAGAAGATCATGTCATCTACAAATAATAATTTAACTTCCTCCTTTCCTATCCATATCCCTTTTCTTGCTCTTGCCTGATTGCTCTAGCTAGTGTTTCAAGAACTATATTGAGCAGTAGTAATGACAGATATCCTTGTCTTGTTCCTGATTTTACAGGGAAAACTTTTCAGCTTCTCTTTAAATATGATGTTCAGCCTTCTATATTTTAAGATAGTGAGGTTCTTGTTAAATTGCCCAAGCTGGACTTCAATTTACAATCCTCCTGCCTCAGCCTCCTGAGAAGCGGAGATTACAGGTGTGAGCTACCATGCCCAGCTCCTCTTAACTCTTTTTGTGCGTACACTTCTGAATTGATAAGTGCATTCACATTGTACAACTGTAGACCTTTTTCTGTGATAAATATATGAATTAGTCTAGCTTAGTTTTATGCTACATATGACAATGCTCAGTTGTATTACTTCAGATCCCATGAGTAAGTTCTCATAAACAGACTGATTCAATCTTATCATAATTTTCCTATTCTCTGCAGTGTGAGAATGAGTGCATGTTACTCGCTATTGTCATTGAGCTCACAAATATCTTTCATAGGTACAGTGCTGAGCTGATTAATGTGATGCCCTTATTAATGTTGCATTTCTTGAAATGAACTGGAGACTATTACAGAGATTGACTTACTTTTTCCATTTCTCTATACACTCTTATCTAGATCAGTATTAGCATACCTTTTAGAGATGAGTGTCCAAACTACAATCCAGAACCCATTTGGGTATTCCAAAGAGCCAACCTTATGATTAAACCTGAATACTGAATTTTTAGTTTAGAAAGAAAAAAACATACATTAGCATTTTTTTGGTCACAAATAACACACGTAAAACTACAGTATTCTGAAAAAGATTGAAGAGGATATCAGAAAATCAGATGATATCATTTGCTTGTGAGTAGAAAGAATCAACATAGTAAAAATGTATACCTCACAGAACTAGAGAAAACATTCCTAAACTTCATTTGGAACCAGAAGCAAAAACTATTCTGGGCAACAAAGGCAAAAGGCAAGAGGCATCACAATCCCTGACTTGAAATTATACTACAAAGCTACTGTAATAAAAACAGCATGGTACTGGCAAAAAAACACCTGAGGATCAGTGGAACAGAGTAGAAGATGCAGAAACAACTCCAAATACATCATGCACTCTGTCTTTGACAAAGGGTTTAAACACCTTCACTGGGAAAAAGATAGCCTCTTTGATAAATGGCACTGGAAAAACTTAGCTTTCCGCATGCTGAAGACTAAAAGTAGAGCCAAGTCCCTCCCTCACCATGCACTAGACTAAGATCAAAGTGGATCAAAGATCTAAGTATTAAAACAGAAACACTAAATCTGCTGAAAGACAGAATAGGTGAAACTCTAGAACACATAGGGGTAGGCAAAGACTTTATGAACAAAACCTTGATTATGTGAGAAATATTACAAAGAATCAACAACTGGGATCTCATCTTATTAAAAAGCTTTTGCACAGCAAGAAAAACCAAAGTGAACAGTTTATGTGAGAAATATTACAAAGAATCAACAACTGGGATCTCATCTTATTAAAAAGCTTTTGCACAGCAAGAAAAACCACTAAGTGAACAGACAACCAACAGAGTGGGAAAAATATTTATCAGCTGCTCCTCAAGACAAAGACCAATATCTAGAATATATAAAGAACTGAAAAAAATCAAAACCACGCCCCCCCCTCATTTAAAGATCTGGTCCAAAAATGGGTACCTGAGATGAATACACATTTCTCAGGTGAAGAAGTACAGATGGCAAATAAATACATACAAAAATGTTCAACATAGCTGACATTTGAGAGATGCACATTAAAACAACACTGAGATTCCGTCTCACTCCAGAAAGAATGACTTATCAAGAAATCAACCAATAACAAATGCTGGCAGGGATGTGGGGGAAAAGGTACCCTTCACTGCTGGTGGGAGTGTAGACTGGTGCACCCACTAAAAATCATTGTGGAGATTCCTCAAAAAACTAGGACTAGAGGTTCCATTTGACCCAGCTATTCCCCTCCTTGGTATCTTTCTGAAAGAATTAAAAGCATCATACCACAGATATATACAACCCAAATGCCCATCATTCTTTGAATGGATAAAGAAAATGGTTTTCCTACACCATGGAGTACTACTCAGCCATAAAGAAGGATAAGTTTGAGATATTTATAGCTAAATGGATGCACCTTGAAGCTGTATTCTTAAATGAAAAATCAGATGCACATGTAAATATCACATTGTCTGTCTGGTGTAAGAAACTGGAAGTGTGAATAAGGACCAAAATGTATAATAAATGTTGTGAAGTAGGAAGAAAATGCTCAAATGGGAAGAGGTACAAGAAAGGGGAGGGGAGGAAAGGAAGAGAAAATTTTAAAAAAGAAAATGGAAACAAAGCACTTGTAAATAAAGGGAAGAGGGATAGAAAGGGGAAGGGAATGGGAAAAAAATAAGAATCAAGATACATCACATACAGAGACAAATTCCATACAATGAATGGGGTCATTATATATGTCTACATTTTACCAATAAACTTAATGATTTTTTTTTTTTTAAACCACGTGTGCTATGGGTTCACACCACTGCTCTGATAGTCTCATGCATTCCTGTGGTCTTTGATGAAGTCAGAACAGTTTGAGGGTTTGGAAGGGACATTTTTCTCTCCCATTCCCCTGACTTCCTGTGCTGTCCAAAGTGTGCTTTTTGCTGTGGCTGAATTGTTTGTTGCTTTTGCTTGTTTCACTTGTTCTGCCCTCTGACAGTGACCTTATTTGCCTGCATTGGTGCCACAAAGGTTGGCTTTATTAGCCATGGCCTGGCAGTTAGCATTGTTCATTTTTGAGTCCTTGCAGAGGCTTCAGTATTCTTCTCTAATTTTTATCTGCTTCACTTGAGGTTGTAAGATCTGTCAGTATGAAAAGATGAAAAATCCAACGAATGTTTAAATTTTAATATTTATTACAGTGAAAGACATCACTGTCAAAGATGTATTGCCATTAATCCACCTGAAAACACTTATTTCAAAGACACTTATTTAACATTCTTGGCAGTGTGTTTTTTACTATAGTAAAAGTTATTTTAAAAAATTAAACATTTGCTGTGTTTTTTGATGACCCCGTGTATATTATTGGGGTATTTCTGAACTTCAGTGAATATTTTGAGTGACATTTGGTGATTAATCAGGTAAGTGAATATATTTGAAGGACTTGGGTTTTAGTGTGGCTGAAAATTAGGGCCTTTTTTGCATAAAGCTATTCCTATTGAAGTCACAGTAATAGCTGAATGCATAGTATGTTTGAGGTCTGTAATATTCACTATCTCTCTAACTACTATTTCCTTTTGGAATCTTTTCTTATCCTTTTTTTAAAAATATATATTATACTGTCTTTCCCCCCTTCTTTGGCAATTTGTTTCGTCTGATTTTTTAGCATTTTCTGATCACCTCTTAAATATTCTCTTCTTCCATCCTTAACCTTCTCACATTCATTCATTTATTCATTCAGTTAGAGATAAGACTCACTGTGTAGTTCAGGCTGACTTAGAACTCATATTGGTTCTCCTGCCTCAGCCTCCTGAATGCTAGGATTGTAAGTGTGTGCACCACAATGCCTCGCTCATTACTTATAGGTCTGTCTTTCTTAAGCCTCATATTTTCACACTTCTCATTTCTATTAAATGATTTCATTCACTTGTATTTGTAAAAACTACCATTTGTGGGCTAATAACTTGGAAATTGACTTCTCCAGCCCTGATCATTCCCGCAAAGTGGATTCATATTCATTTCAGTGCCTTAGGGTTCTGCCTAATTCTTTTCCAAGTCAAGTTTCCCTTTTCATATGTATGACGGCACCATTCTCTATTCAGTCATCAAAATCAAAATCAGAAATCTAGGTGTTTATATCTCCTCTCCCCATTCTTATACCCCGTGGTCACTGAGTCTTGTCACTGTGGTCTCTTTTTCTTTTTCTTTTCCTTTTTTTTTTTGGTACTGGGGATTGAACTCAGGACTTTGTACTTGGAAGACAGGCGGTGGAATCACTGAGCTCAATCCCCTGCCCTTGTGATCTCTTTCCTAAACACCTTCCTCCCCACTCCATTCCCATTGCTTTGCCTCTGCCTCAGCTCAGCTGTGTCTCTGGGACCAATAAGAAATGGTGCCCTCTTTGGTACTCCCTGTATGTTATACATATTTCTCTATCATTTTATTTTATATTTTTAGGAATATGGGTTTACAAGAGGGAATGGAATAAAAAATAAATCCTTTAGTTTTTTTTGTGTTGAAATAATTATTTTAAAATAACCTTATATAATTTAAAAATATAAAACCTGATAAAGCTAGCTCTTAGAAGACCACTAATAACAATATGCATTGCTGGTAAAAGAAAAATAGGTGTTTTTATTGATTATATGATTATATATGCCTTGAATTTCAGATTTTGTTAATGGAGCACTAAATAAACTTAAATCTAACAGAACACCCTCTATTACACCTCAACACGATGGAACTGGTAAGTATTTGTTAACTAAGTGAAAATTTTTGTAGTAGTCTATAAAAAATAATTACAATAAAAATTACTTATAGTTAAATTTAGTTTGATTAAGTACAAATATTATTTTCAGTGGAGATACTATATATGATTTTTGTGATGTTGGTTACTTTGGATATACTGAACTCAAAATTGTAGGTAAAATTTTCTTTTAGCCTATTATATTTTCACTTTTCTTAATCAAGATTTTTTTGTTTCTTGTAATTTGGGAAAATAGCTCAACTTCATTTTTTTTTAGGACCAGAAATGTATTATTATATATTCCAATATTTTACCCTGATTTGCTTGTTGCTCACATATCCAGCCAATAACAGACCACATGATCTTTTGTTTTCCAGAGTGGTGAAATGAACTGGTTAATAAATTCTAAGTTATGAAAAGCAAATATAATATGTAAATTAGTTTTTGTTTCATTTTTTTCTTGGAGAATGGGTGACTTTTGTTTTGTTTTTAGTTTCTTGAGACAGGGTCTTGTTATGTTGTTCAGGCTGGCCTTGGACTCACTATGTAGCTGGCCTCAAACTCAGCAATCCTCCTGCCTCGGTCTCCAGAGTGCTAGGATCACAGGGGTTGACCATAGTTTCTTTCCCTATAGTAATGTTCTTTCATTTATATTACATGCATCTTTTATTCTTTTGAGTTCAAATGTTTGCTGCTTCTAAAGTCTTGCCGCTTCACATCTTCTCTTTTTTCATTTTAAGCTGTTGCATTGTTTTAGTAATATAACACGTTTAGTTACAGAATATACATCACTCACATTTTTAACTCTAAGTAATAGTAGCTTTGTAAGAAGAAATAATGTGAAGCTTTTGTATTGTATATATTCTGTGGGAGAAATGACAAACTGGTTTTGTTTTGTCTTGTTTTCAGCCCAGCTCTCTGTCTCCCCAATGATTCTTACACCAAATGCCAAGCGTAAACTACCAGTGGATTCTTTTCATGGTTTCTCAAGTAAGAAAAGGAAGTCCATCAAGCACAGTTTTAACTTTGAGCTATTGCCAAGTAATCTCTTCAGTAGCAGTTTGACACCAGTTTCAGGTAGTGAACATTACATTCAGGTTGTAAACATTAATCACTGAATGGTTTACCCCAGGGTCACTGGGCCAACGTATTGGTTGTTGCAATGATTATTTGAGTGTTACTTGGGCAGATGTCATTTCATTTCATCCAGTCTATTCTTGTTTCTATGATATACACTCACATACTTTTTTTTTTTTTTTGGTACCAGGCATCGAATTCGGAAGCTTGCACTAGCAAGGCAGGCAGTGGAACCACTGAGCTAAATCCCAGGGCCTGTCTGTTTGTTTTATAGCAACTATGTTTTGCATTTTTTTTTTTTAATTTAGAATGTTGCATTTGCCTTTTTTGATGTTTGTTTCTAGTGAAAACTAATAAGTGCTGGTTATTTTCTTTTGGTAACATGCTTATTTGTGAAAAATAACCTTTAATTTTGTGCTATTGTCTATAAAAACTTATCATAAGTACATTGGATACAATTTGTATACTTCTGCAGAATTCAGTGGTACTTTTTTACAATACAAAATGGACAGTGTCAGGACACTGAGGCTGACTAGGAAGGAATTGCCAAAAGATCTTCAAAAGAAAAAACTAAAAAGGGGAGAAATGTCAGCATATCAGAGAGGAAAAATCTGTGTTATAAAATGAAAAGAGAAAAAGATGTGTCCGTATTGTTAACTAGGCATATTACAGAAGTGATAGAACCTGAAAGAAGAAATGAAACTAAAAAATTCCCATAATAGTCCATGATTAGAATAATTCTGAGGGTGGCGTTGACAGAGCTGACCAACATCTAACAAGCTGTCCTGTAATCAAAAGGCGAGGAAGAGAATATTATCATAAGATATTTATGTATCTTCTGGGCCAAACTATAAGGATCTTGTTTGTTATTTATTCAAGACAAGGGGGTTCAAAAGTTGTTTACAATTTAAATTAGGTCCAATAGACCAAATAACTGAAAAATACCAGATAGTGGAACACCAACCAGGACACCCATCATCCACATCTTCACCATCACATTTAGTGGGCAGACATTTTACTGAAATTATACCACCCACAGAAAAAAAAAGGAAAGGCCAACATGGCAGTGTAAAGTGTGTTCAAAGAAAGAGAATAATGCAAAAAGAATTTGCAAAGAGCCTAGATACAACTGTGCAGATTATAGCATTGTATTATGTGGTGAATGATTTAAGATATACACAGAAAAAGTACTGAATAAATTTGATAAATTTATTGTTTTTATATTTCCTTTCATCTTATAAAAATTAATGGGAAAATATGCAAATTTTGGTCATCCTGTATTTAAGTAATTGGACTGTTAAGTGGTTAATATGAGTACCAATATCAGCTGAGCTATTTCAGATTAGAAGCCAAAACTCGATTCTATGTTTTATGACATATCTGGATTTTTACAAGGTCCCCGCCTTTTAAAACAGACAGTGGGACCCGGGATTTAGCTCAGTGGTTCCGCCATCTGCTTTGCAAGCACAAGGTCCCAAGTTCAATCTCCGGTACCAAAAAAAAAAAAAAACAGTGACTCATTAAAGTATAATGATAAGAACTCTGATGTTGTAATCGAGACTTAAACTCCTTTAAATAACTGTTTTCTTTTTTTTTTTTTTTTTTGGTACTGGGGATCAAACTCGGGACCTGGCGCTTGAGAGGCAGGTGGCAGAACCACTGAGCTAAATCCCTGGCCCAACTGTTTTCTTAATAGTCAAAGCCCTTTCTTTTTTCTAATAGTGAATGGGAATTGTAGTTTTACCTGCCTCTACTGAATCGCATTACAACATCTTCCCTAAGGAACAAATCTGTAGATTCCTTCTCCAAGCTGCCCCAGAAGTTTGAACATTCTTGTGTTGTTTTAACCTTAGTTTGAGTCTGCATAGTCGGTGTATTTTCTTAACAGCAAAAGTAAAAAGTTCAACAGTAATCTCATTATCTTCGATTCACCATTTTTCTTTGTCCTTTCTCAGCTACGGTTTAATAAGTTCCATCTGTAAGATTGAAAATGAGTTAATTTCTAAGTTTGGATTATAATAAATACCATGCTTTTTTAATATATAAAGGCAACAACATTAATCTACAATACTTTGATCAATTTTTATCAACTTTAGATTCATGTACAAGTGTCATAAATTTACATAATTCTGCATACTTTGGTTTTCAGTATGAATGGACTGCAGCTCTAGGGTAAAGCAAACTGTCACATTGAATATATTAGGCTTCAAAAGTTTCTTTAGCCAGATGCACCCAAAAGTCATTCATTGTGATGATTGTATTTTTTGTTTCCCTAACCAAAACAAAATAAAAAACATGGATAACTTTATTTAGGAAAATCTGAAATCCTTATCAGTAACAATGATGAAGAGAGATAGTGTTTCTTGGTTATATACTGGGTAGGGTTGAAACATAAGTTATTTAAATTGAGTATCTGTTGTAACTAGTTTTTGCATGGAAAATAGTTGCAAAGTGGATAGGCATTGTGATAGATCATTTTTGTTTGTGTGAGGAAAGTTTGGACAAGTTTCAGTCTGGAATCAGATGGACACCAGTTGGATAACCAGATGAATTGTGGATACTCAGGCTCCAGCTTGTTGCTCAATAGTTTATTTTTTATGATAATGTAAATAATATTCTGTACTAGATACTATACTGGGGATTACATATAATGGTATTTTATATTCATAGTCTAAAGCCATCTTGTAAATGGTTGAGCAAACTCAACTTTATAGGTCTTTCCCCATTGTACGACGGTGTCATTCTTTGCATTATGAAGATTTTAAGGCAGAAGTGTGAGAGTAGTGTTTGATTTAACCTCTAATGGGTAAATAAAAAAATAATACATCCATATTTAACTTTTTATTTGAGTCAGTTATTTGGCATCTGAAGTTTCTAACTAGAAATTATGTCATTTTTGTTGTTGCTTGGGGGTGGAAATTAATGCTTTAAATATAATTGTGTTTTCATGTTTTATACTTTGAAAATAAGTGTTTGTGATATATTATATGTGGTTATATTTTATAGTTCAGTGTGATACAAGTCCAGAATGCTCATCCCAGAGTTCACTCTCTCCTGTCGCCGTCAGTGGAAACCATTTGATCAATGAAGGTGTGCTAAGGCGGAGTAAAAGAATTGCTGGCAAAAAAGTTTGCAGGTAATTTATCCAGGACATTTTACTGTCACTGGATAAGTATTTGATATATGTGTTATCATATGATTCTTGATGAATTATTTTGTCATTTTACCAAGAACCAGATTCAAATAATTTTAATCCAGCCCTAAATAGCTTTAATGATACTTAGATAGTTTTTATATGCAAGCACATTGTGTTTGGATATGATATCTTAAAGCTTTTTAAAAAGTTATTACTCTCTTCGGTTATTAGCAGTATGATTTGCTTTGAACTCAAATTTCATTTTAGAAGAGTTACTTATATTTGTGCTATAAATTAATTGATCATTTAAATTCTATTCTTTATAGGGCAGAATCCGGAAAAGCAGGCTGCTTCTCTCCTAAAATCAGTCGTAAAGAAAAAGTTCGAAGATCTCTTCGCTTGAAATTTAGTCTGGGGAAAAATAGAGACACGGTAAGTGACTTACTATTTCATTGATTGGGTTACATTAGCAGAAAGCTGTAGACTTAATACCAAACGACCCCTTTAACCCTGCTTCTCTTCCAGCTATTGTGCTGTTCTGTTCTCTCTATATCAAGACTTTTATCCCAACAGAAACTGAAACTGGCCACCAGTGAGTACAACATTACTGGAACCAGCAGTCAAAACTTAATGTTCTGTAAGCAGCATTTGACACTTGCTGCCATTTGGTTCCCTTTCTTCCCTTGCTTTTTCACTGGTTACTTTTGAAATACTATTGCAATAGAAGGCCCATAGCTTAGTCCCTGGGCTTATCTTTTTCTATTCACTCGGAATAGTTATGTATAAACTCAGTATATTTACTTAAGACTTCCAAGTTTAAGTTCTCTAGCTCAGAACAACACTCTCTTGAACAGGTTGACTATTCTTCCATGTTTTTTTTTTTCTTTTCTTTTGTTTGCTGAGCACGTGCTGTACCTCTGAGCTCTTGAGGTATAGGCCCAGCTTCAACTTTGTTTTGACATCTGCTTATTTGAGTTCTCTCCTTGGATGTTTACTCAAATGTAACCTGTCCCAAACTGTTCGTAAGATGTATTTCTTTTACTGTGTGCTCCAGTAAAGCTCGTCTATCTGTAGTCATTCCTATTTCTGTTATCTAACTTATTCTTTTATTCCTTAGGTTAAAACCGGACACATTCTTGATTGTGTTTTCTTTCATGCACCACATCTAATCCATTAGAGTGTTCTCCAAACTGATTGTCACTAGTACCATTTTTCCATTTTTTCTAAGTTCAGTCTTTCCTCAGCTGGATTCTACAGTAAACACCTACCTTCCGTCCTTGCTGCTGTACTACAGCCAAAACAGTCCTTTCCAAACCTGTTAGGTCCCGTCATTTCTGCTCAGAGCCCTCTAGTGATTCTTCCTTTCATGAACACAAACCAGGGTTCACACATTAGCCTGCAAGGCTCCCCACAGTCTGTGGGATCAGCCCAGCTCTCGGAGCTCCACTCCTGGCACTGCTTGTTTCGGGCTCGCTTTCCCCCACGCACTGACCTCCTTGGTTGAACATGCCAGACTGTGCTCCCGCAGCGGAGACACCAGCATGTTCTTCTCTATGCAGTGTTTTTCCTTGTATATGTTTGTGGCTCTTGCCCTTATTATTCTTTACTCAGAAATCATCTTCTCATTCCTCTGTTTAAAATTTCACTCCCTCCTTTTATCACTCCATATCTTCCTTGCCCCATTTTACTCTTCATCCTAGCATTTTTGCCCTTCTGTGTTATATTTATACAGTGTAATTTATTGTTTCTTTTGTTTTGATCAAAATCTCATCTAGAATGTAAATTCTAAGAAGATAAGATTTTGATCTTTTTTTTTCTATTTATGAACAGGCCCTCACAGAGAATGTACAAAATGTATTTTTAAAATAGTGAATATATAAGATTGCTTTTATTTTATAGTATAAAATAGCAGTGTATATAATTCTAATTAGTGGGTAAGAATATTTGTGTTACAAAATTGCTTTCCAGTTATCTCTGTCTTTTTTAATCATCTCTAGATTTTGAACCTATGAAGAAAATTATTGTCTTAATATTTCAAATTAATTGGGTTTACTTCTTAACCAGAGTTTTTTAAATTTTTCTTTTCTGCACAGAATGGATGTTCTGGTGTAAATAGATATGAAACTGTTGGTCGGAGACTTGCAAGTCAAGCAGGTTTAAAAAACAGGATTGAATCCGTAAAAACAGGATTGCATTTTAGCCCAGATATTGCTGAAAGATTACCAAAGAAAGGTACATTTATATAATACTGTTTTACCAAGAAATCCTGCTTTTGTTGCTATTAGTTGCTTTTTAATGATAAAATATATTAAGTAATTTGCTGTTCTAGATACTTAATGTTCATATTTGAATAGTAGACATGTTTGACTCGGCACTGTATTTTTCTGTCAACAATTGGAGGGTGCTTATATGTGAAAATACGAAAATATCTAGCATTTTCATATTTAAAATATTTTATCACTTATCTTTAATTTATTGGAAGTACTTACTACCTTTATTTGCCATGTGTTTGAATTATATTTCAAAGTCTAGGTCAGATATAAAGGATTAAAAAGCACTGTACTGTTTCATTTTAGGTTCAGTGAAGATCAGGAAGTCTGAGGAAAACTTAGTAACTCCAGAGCGACTATATGGAAGAAGTTACCAGATGTCTTGGACACGACTAAGCAATTCAAGTTTTCAAGAAATGGATGCAAATGAAGCTTCTCCAAGAATGGGAAATGCTGAGGTGCAAAACTTTTCTTTGGAACCTGAAATTACAATTGAGAAGTCACCTGGTGAATCCTGTGAACTCACCCCTTCTGTTTCACACAGTGAAACCAATAGCGATGTAACAGAAAGCTCCCTCAGCGGGGATGAACATAACCTGACTTCAGAGACTTTGGAGAAGATTCAGAAAGCTTTTTCTGAGTCTGGGAATAATCTTCATGCATTGTTAAGTCACAGGCAACCAATAATGAGTGTGGAAAAAGAAAAAATAAGTGAAACATCTTATGGAGAATGTAAGTCAGAGGAAAATCTACTTGATACTAATGATTTGACTGTGACAGAGTCAGAGGAAAATTATGAAAACTATGCCATTAAAGATGAAAGTTGTTTTTCAGAAAGAGCCTTCTCATCACATCAAACTCAAAAGTTTGGTGGAGAAACAACTGTAAAATGTTCCTCTACTCAGATGAAGGTAGAACATCACAAAGACATTCATTCAGATATACGAGGAGATAATTTAGTACAGCAAGAATTCCCTGTTGGTGAACAGATTAAGGAAGAGCAGTCCCCAAAAGATAAACAAAATAGTCAGTCAAAGGAGAATGAGAATAGGTTTGAAGAGAACTCAGTGAAGTGTGCGGCTCCTGGGGAGGACGAGGCTAAACTCTCTTCCTCTCAGCAGAGCACATGTGATATAACAAACCTGTCAAAACCCAGGCCTGTGAGAATTGCTAAGCAGCAGTCACTGGTGGAAACACACAATAAAACGGTTTCTGAAAGTGTACACACAACAGAGCACGGGAAGGTTTCAGATCACATACAGTGGTTTAATCAGCTTTCATTAAATGAATCACATAGAACGAAAACAAAGTCCCCTCTGAAATTTCAGCGTACCCCTGTCCGTCAGTCTGTTAGAAGAATTAATTCTTTGTTGGAGTATAGCAGACAACCTGCAAGGCAGAAGTTGATGTATCGTGGTGATGCTGCTTCTCCTCTTGTTAAATCAGTGAGCTGCGACAGTGCTCTTCCCTCTTGTGCAGGAAGTACATCAAGAGAATCCTCTGTTTTAGGTGCCAAATTAGGTCCTCAAGAACAGACATCTGTAACAATGAAGAGACACCCAGGTTCTTTTGGGTCTACTAAAGTTTGTAAGCAGGAGGTGATACCTGATGGTCAAGTTAAGGTTCCCTTGGTGGACCTGACCAATCATGATATATTAAGGTCTGTTGTGAATAATGATATGAGCTTTTCTCCTGGGATGATGAGCAGGGTCCTTAGGAAGCCATCAGAAAGAGAAAGGGCTTGGTACAAAGGTTCTCCAAAAAATCCTATTGCAAAGGCTCAACTACTACCAACAAGTAAACCCGTAGATCTGTAATTGGCAAATGTTGTACTTATCACGAATGTAAATAAAATTAGTAATTGATGCAATTTGCAGATCATGTATGTGTTAGCTTGTGGCGCAGGATGATTACTAGGCAGTGGGTTTTCTCTGAAACATTTTCATTTCACTGCACGTTATTACTTTATTTTTCTTAATTATGGCAGTATTTAAAATTTTTTATAATCTCTTAAAGCAGAGGTTACACTTTAACTTTTTAGAGAAGTTGTTGGCTGGATTTATAAAAAGATTTTTTTTTTACTTGCATGGTTTTTATTTTGTATATATGAGGAAAAGTGAAGCCAGTTTTATCTATTGTCATTTCTGCAAGTCATGAAGGTTTCTTAGAAAACCTCGTGTGTAAAGGGAAAGAGGCCCTGCAGATCTTGTCTTGATTATATTAATGTTCACTGTTTTTACCAAACTCCTTAGAAACTAAGTTGCTGTAATAGTCTCCTAGTACTTTATTCTTATTTGAGGCAGAACAGTTCGGTAGGCATCTCCTGTATGCGTACAGTGTGTTCACTTGAGCTAAACATAGCTAAAGCAGAATGATCATGGAAATGTGCTCCTGACTTAATGATGTAGAAGTAAGTGATTACTTTTAAGCCATGCTGTGTTCTTAAAGGTGATTTGCACAAATACATGTGTTTGTGTTTTGTCCAGTATAGAAGTTAAATTATTTAAGGAGGAATAGTTAAACTTGAAAAGAATTAAATCAAGGTGATTTTTTTTCTGTGCAGATGTTTGATTTTAGGGTTTGAATAGTTGATGCACCTCTGTACATTTTACTCAGATAAAAACTTATGATGATCTTGTGTGTAAATGTTATTTATTTAGTGAAGACATTAAAGATAACTTTTTGGAAAATGACTTGCCTGTGACTAGTGAAATTCAAAGTGCCATTTGTAACTTGAACCAAATAGTCAAGCATCTATCTAAATTTATATTTTAAATTATTAGATGTCGCATTTTAGATGTTGGAATAAAAGAGTAGGATTATACATCCTCAGAGCAACCAGACTCGACAGTGTTCAGTACATATGTAGGAAGAACTTTAATTCACCAGAGGTTTGCTTTACTGACTTCTACTTGATGATAGAGTGTCACTTTTATTGCAGAGCTTTCTCCTGTTTGCTCTTTTCATTACCTGAAGAGTAGTCCTTTCGCCAAACTTCATACACTGGTATGTTGGCTCACGAACATAATTTATTCTACAATTCTGGAAAAGATGCACGTTTGTGCTTGTTTGGGAAAGATGGCCGTAGTCACGTATGTCACTCAATGCAGTTTGCAAACAAAAAAAAATTTTGCTAGTTGCTTCTGTTTGTGAACCAAATTGCTTACCAACAAAAGTGTTCATGAACTGAGGTATCACTGTATTTGACTTATATAACAGACTAATAATCTGTAGTTACAATTTTCTTCAGATATCAAAACAGGTTTGTTACATAGACTAGATATTCATTTCAGGTGTTTATGGTAGTTTCCCTAGGTACTTTATTCATTCATATATATATATATATATATATATTTTTTT